AAAAATGTCCAAAATTTGTTCAATGTCCATTTTGTAATATTTTAGACCAAAATACCATTGTTAATAATTTATAATTCCACATTAAAGACAAATATGAGCATACAATTAAATATTTTGTTGGCTAATAAAAATTTGACACATAATCTACTTAACTTATTTCAAAAGTACACATATCAAATCATAATAAATGCTATATTTCTCATAGTCAAGAACTACATTTTAAATGTCAAGAACTTTATAAAATGTAAAGAACTTTCATTTTTGGAATGAAATCTCGTTCTAGATAAATGAAGTATCAAGATAAATATGATTCAATTATCGATAACAACTTTTAAAATATCGAAAACGTCATTTTAATGTAGCTTCTCATGAAAATTATTTCTTCTTCTCGAAATTCGTGACAAATTGAAAAAATGATGCTTCATTTTCCATTAAAGGTATAATAGATAATTTAATAGTACATTTGATCATTTTTGCAAGAGTTATCAAAATAAGACACGATAAGCATGAAACTAGCCATTTTTGTAAATTCTCCTAAATATGTTTATCCTTAACAATCATGCTTGTACGGAATTTTTTGCTCACCTACGCTGATAAATCAATCACGGTAAAAATTGAAGATTATTTTAATAAAACAAGTTTCGTGCTTGGTGTACATAATTTTTTGCCCACCTACTCTATGATAAATCAAGTACGGTAAAAATTAAAGATTATTTCAATAAAACAAGTTATTTGACTAACTGGATTGCAACCCAAGAAAAAATTTCCTAAAATGGTAGGATTCTTTAGAATTATATTCCTTTTCCACTTTCGGGTTCAAAAATGATTTCACACATTTTTTCTTTATCAAAACCGCGACTTCAGATGCCGGAATCTAGTTCGGCTATTTTCAAGAAAAAATCAATTTGGAGTTTATCTTGTAAAAAATAAAACATGCACTTGATGAGGGATGAGAGGTTGTGTCGGAAAACTATTATTTTTTATATTAAAAATCTGTAACAAAACATAAAAAATAATCATAAAGGGGTTAAAGTCACGATCAGTATACTTTTCACTTAGTGCCAACATAATGGTCGAACTTTAATTTTTTGAACCATCTAACCTTTCACTTAGTGAAATATGGTCATCGAACTTTTCAGTTAGTGTCATCACGTTCACCAAAGTTAATTTTGTTTATTATAAAGTTCAGATGATTAACCCTCGGGCTCTTAACCTTTGAACCTTTTGATGATGGGATCTCAATCCTTTAATTTCTAGTCCTCAGAATTCTAGAGTGTTTAAACATCTACGTCTGAGGTACTTTTGTAACGAAAATGTCAGTTTAACATTAACGTGTACATATTTTTGACGTGGGATCAAGTCCCATATTTGCAATGGGAACCATGACAAATGGAATGAGGTAGAGGCCACCAAATATTCCTATTTTCCACCTCAACTTATTCTGGAAGGACCTTCCTACCATTTCCCGGGCGTGGAGTAGTTAATATGATAAAATCGTTTGAACCCGTGCACTCTCCGAGAACTTCAATCTTGCCTCTACATGGAATTCTATTAGGTCTTGTAAGCTTGTGATATGTATGATCCCTCAAGTCGCTTTCATACCTAAGCGGTATACCAACTTTTGCCTGTTAAAAGCAACGAAAATCAACAATGGTGAAGGTGGCTTCGAGAAAGAGTAAGAAAATATGGTGCCATTGTTGACGATAGAAATCTGATCAACAAATTCCTCTCACCTAATCATGGTTTTCACCTCCTAACCTCACTGTTTTGACACTCAAATTTGGAGCAAAATGATAAATGACTATTTTAGGGGAAGATATTTTAATTTGCATTGTTTTCTTATCTTAGGCGGGAGTATTTAGGCTTCGAGGCTAATTAGGTCATTTGGGATAAGCGACAAATAGGGGCTTTTTATTGGTTGGTTTGTACCCAATTCTGTTTTAAGTATCACGTTTTATTCATCAGCTTACGTTTTATGATCGCATTGGCTTTGAGGTCATGCTTTGAATGTTTGCCCACGTGTGCCTTCATAATGATTTTTAGCCAGAAGGAAATGGTTGTTCTTATATGCCTGTGAGCCTTTTGTATTTTTATTCCTCTCACATATTTCCATTCTTTGTGAACGGGGGAGGTAGAATTGCGGGGAATATTCTTGTTAACACCCATTCAAAACTTAACATGTATGGGATTCCCATAGTTTTCCTCAATGGTCCATCGGCAAACAAATTCATATACACCTGTAGTGAACAGCTACTCACCAATAAGAAACTGGCATCTATCGGGAGGATTTGTGGGGATATCAACATAGTGGAATTAAGTAGGGATGAATACATGCGTCGTAGAACAGCACTTGTTTGTTGAAGCTAGATACTTTGAAGCAAATTGTTTGGAGGATAAATAAGGAGATAAGATTTCACCTCGAGAAGCACTGACTTGGGATGTGAGATGTATTCAGCAATTACCCGTGCTGTCGAATGAGAAGACTGTGGACAATATTATTGTTGATTGCGTTAAGAAATATATAATTATTTTGTTTTTATTATTTATTAAGGGTAGAATAGTCTTTTAAGTTTCCTTTATTTTAGACTATATATAGTCTCTTTGTATCTAGGTTTTCATTATTCAATTACATTATGCAGAATCAATAAAACCCTAGCCTCTTTT